ACCACTCAATAGAATTTCTTAGCAGAACTTTAGTTGCATCTTTAGAAAGTTTGTGTATGAAGTTGGCTCGAATATCCATCTTTTAACCCTTTCGCGCCGAGCGCCGCATATATGCGGCATCCACCCGACGACCTGTGGGTACGGGCGCCGCATGTATGCGGCATCCACGCCACATATATGCGGCATCGAAATGATGTATATACAAGTGCCATCTATAGTCGATGGCAACACTTTTCGTTATCGGCAGAACATTTTCCGTTGATTTTATTGACATATTGGATTAATCACTTCTTAAATCTTAAACTCCGGCGCGAATTTCCGTTCAATGACGGTACTTCGGCGGACGGGGCTGCCGTAGCGAAAGGGTTAATGCAGGCAGGGAAAATGGTGAAATTTCACTGAAATTTATTCTCTAGCTTAATTGACGTTAGTGTTTAAAATAATTGATTTTATTGCAATATTAGATTTGTACCTAGACACGCGTAGTCTATATTGTATAATTTTGCAATGGAGAAAGGAGGTATGTTAACCCTCCGAGTGCTGGACTCGCGGGGCGTCCGAAGGCGGATCATTTCTGACTCACAGCGATAAGTTACTAACACAAAGTCACAGTGACTTGAGCTCGAGACTCTTACCGACACTGTAGAAGTTTTGTCGACCAGAAGAAAGGACAGCGAGTGAAAAAGGAAATAGAGTGAGCCGAAGACGTAAGTCAATACTTCTGCGGCATCTTAGCCCGGCCGTTTTCATACAATGTCACACATTGATCAGTTCCCGAATTATACGACAGCTCCATCACTGTGTACTGCAGTGGTGGGCAAAGTTGGCTCCCGGGAGCTAAAACTTGTCCCCACCACCGTCCACCGTTACCATGGAATGACAGAGACAAGAGTCTGGGGCCCAGACTCTGGGCTTCTTTATTTCTACGAAGGCATACGGTGCGAAAGAAAGGTTGAAAAAGGAAATAGGCGCGTGAGGTGCCCCACGCTGCCCAGCGCTGGTATACTGTATCGCTCTCATGAGACTCACGAGCGCATGGCATCCCAAATAGCACAAAAACGTCTTATGTACACCCACGAGCAAACTCGGCTTCTACTAGAGAAAAAAGTAGCGTAAGGGAAAGACCTCTTACCACTTAGTAAATTTATTTCAAGTACTGAAATAAATGTTAAATTGAATGTTAATTTGACATAAATATCAATAATTCTCGATACCAAATTTTAGGAGGCCCTTCTTCAACGCCACTTTTTTCCCTAGCGGAAGCCGAGTTTGCTCGTCAGGGTACGTCCGATGGACGTACTACGGACGTTCTGTACATTCGGAGGATGTCCCGAAAAGGTCCATATGTCCCCGTTAGATCCTCGTTAAGATCTTTAAATATCCTAGGAAGGTCCTGTTTACAAAGTGGAACGTCCCGAAGACATCCTGTGTCAACATTCTTAGAACGTTTCCCGAATGTGTAAAAGTAACATTCCCTGTACGTTTTTAGAACGTTTAAAGAGATTTTAGAAAACTCTGTGGTAATGTCTTAAAAGACGTATAAGAAATGTTTCCCAAATGTTTAAAATTGCGGTTAGGTTTCATTCTGTGGAAGGAATTTACAAAGTGGAACGTTCTGAGGACGTCCTGTGTCAACATTCTTAGAACGTTTCCCGAATGTATAAAAGTAACATTCCCTGTACGTTTTTAGAACGTTTAAAGAGATTTTAGAAAACTCTGTGATAATGTCTTAAAAGACGTATAAGAAACGTTTCCCAAATGTTTAAAATTGCGGTTAGGTTTCATTCTGTGGAAGGTGACAGGAGTTGGATTAGGTTAGTTTGTGTTTAACAAATAAATGATTAACTTTCCTGCGATTTCCTCACTTAGTGGAAATTAGATCTAGTTAGTTCCTGTTAATAAATAAAAGGTTAAATTTCTTATAAGGAATTATAACGAAAATATAGGTCTGGAGATTATGATCTCCAAGTACATTGTGTTTATTTCTATTTTCACAGCAAAATTCTGATTCTGTGTTGGTTAGTTTTTTCAACTTTCTTGAGGTTTTCGCACAAAACAACTACTGTTGTTACACTCCTCTATTGATTCTTTGAAGACTGACACCTTGTTCATGGGGTTCCATCACCTTGCACGGAATGACATTGGCAAAAATACTAAACATAACCATAAAAAATTTAAGTCTTGAGAACATTCGTAGGACTTTTGGGACGGACATTTCTAGAACATCCGAAATTTAAGTCTTACGAACTCCTAGAGATGTCCAAAATAGGCGTGGGACATTCGGATATAAACTGGACATGAAACGAACGTCCCTAGGATGTACGGTGCTATCTGGGCGGTCGCCTACACACGGGCTAATCGACCGTAACATCGACAGTAACCAATGACAAAGAGAACAAAACCAATAAACCATGAAAGACAGGTGAGAATAATACTTCCTCCCTCGATAAGAAAGTTTCAGCTTCCACGTTACATGCGCAGACATGAAAGTGGGAAGCCTACTTTTTCTAATCGAAAGCTAGGAAAAGCCGGGCAACGACGTGATTATGTTCACCGTAATAGGCTCAAGATTGTCGTAAGTCATGGGTACTCTACCGTTTCCTCGTAATTAATTATCACCTGCACTCGACTCGATTTCGTTATCAGTAGTTTATTCACGCAGCAACACACGAGGAACCAGAGTCGATTGAAATAAGTGAATCAGCGCGAAAATTCAAGGCTTTCCTTCGGGCTCAAGTTTTCCATGGAGATAGGATAGAAGAACGAAATACACAATGTATTCAAAAAGTTCCCGGACTTATGTTTGCTACCAAAAAGATTTATAGGTAGACATCATTTTATTGTTTAATGTTCTACATAGTTTCCTCCTCTGTTGATACACTCTTGATGACGTTCATACAGTCACCGGAAACATCTGGAAAAGTCTTCGACTGAAATACCCTTTAACGTCGTTGTCACTTTCCGTTTGATTGCTTCCTCATCCTCAAAACAAGTTCTTTTAATGGCTAGTTTCAATTTTGGAAATAGGAAATAAGCCAAAAATGAAGACACAGTTAGCAATGTGTGAGACGGAGCGTTATCGTGTAACAGAAACCATTGACCGGACTGGTGTTTTGTTTCCAAGTTCGTCATGAAGGATAGCATGAACACTTCCAATACTTATTTTCAATTCCTCTGACAACATTTCAATGGTCATACGGCGATCTTTCATGAGAAGCTGACGAACTCGTACGACGGAGACAATCACTTCCATATGCATTTTGCATCATTTGGTATGTCTCTGTAGGACTTTCTCCACTTAAAAAACAAAACCGTATCGCAGCTCTTTGCTCCATCACAAAAATTATTGTAACGAAACAAAACTGACAAATTTTGAATGTGCTCTGCAAACAAACGACTAAATCTTTTAAGGTTAAACGAAGCTTGATAAAGAAAAGAAGATCTATAGTCAATAGATTTAGCCTTAAAACACAGATGTCGCCACCAGAAGCTATCATGTAATAAAAGTCCGGGAACTTTTTGAATACACTGTGTAGACTGTTTGCGGAACAAACAGACATTACAAAACACGGAGAAATAATGCTGGAAAGCGTCTTCGCTTTCTTTCTGAAACTGCTCCAGACAGTTTCTCACGGGACGCGCTAGTTCAGTCTTCGAAGTGGCAATCGCGTGCTCAGTAGTCCGTAGGACGCAGATGTTTATGTAAATTTAAATACTTATTAAATAATGTACAATATGTACAATAGTTGTAACTGAACAGAGATTCATTTTGTGTATTAAACATTTTATCATGTTAAACATGTAATGGGAAGTTTATGAAAGTGTACAAAAATCTTGTGATTAATGCAATTAATGTATTAAGAAAGTCTAAAAGTTTCGATTGGTTTTGCTCTGTTTAATAATAATTCGATGAAATGCATAATAATTCTTTTTTAGCATAGGTATGCATTTTCAATGGAAAGTTTCATTCGAATACCTAAACAAATTTTTTGATTATTATGGTTGCGGAATTTATATAATTAAATTATAGAAATAAATTTACAGTTTACCACAGAATGGGATTGAACCACAAATGGTTTCTACGGCATTTGTAATGTTTATTCCTTTCTTCATTTAATTCCTTGTTAGGTGCTCAATTTCAATTTTATTTTAAACAATAAACACAAACGCGTCAATACTAAACAAGAACTCACTGTGTTACATTGACATCGGCACCTAATATATTAACATATACAGTAGACTCCCACCTAACCAGTCCCTTTGGTGACCGAACCTGTGGTCGGTCAAACGACAGGCCGATTAATCCGACATGTATCACTTATCATTTCTAGGTAACTAGTGAAAAAAAAATTAACGAAGAAGTACATCTATAACGTTTATTATATATTTACACGTACAGACATATAAACAATGCTTATTAAATATTATTTTTTACAAAAAATATCGGTAATCTTTTTCTGCTTCTTTGAGTTAACTTTGTTTACTAACTATTTTTTATATCTATGTATGTATTTCATGTCAACAAAAACATGACCGGTCATAGCAGGGCCGGATAATCGAGAGTTTACTGTAATTGTTTATCGTTTGCATAAAACCGTGGCGGTCACATCATTTGCAGAATATCCATTAAAACTTTTGTACCGACTACATATATACAGTATCCCACCTATGAGGGAACACCTAAATATCTTCTTTATTTTTAATGATATCAGAAATGTTTCAAACACAGTTTGAATGGTTTCAGAAGGGGGGTGCCGTACATACATGGAATACTTTTTTCAAATTTTTTAGGTCGCTAATCCTTTTTTTTCAGACAGCGTGTAGTTTTTTTATAGCATCATGTAGCATGTGTTAAAATGCATTCAAATATGTCTGTAACTTTTGACCCTGAGGTGAACTTGAACATAATATAATACAATCTTTAAAATGTTTACGGATTCTTTAAAATGAATAGAAACATCTCATTCAGAAAAAATGAATAGTTTCTTTCTCTTTTAAAGGTACAGCCGAGTCCTGGGACAAATTTTCACGTTTAATACCAACGAATTCGGTGTACGAGCAACAGGAGAAGAATGCCGCCTCCGCTAGTAACGCGGCCGAACCGTTTTTACGCTCTCTGGACGAGAACAATGTCATGGAGATGTCGAAAACCAACGAGAAAAATGATGGACACGAAGACGTAGGGAACGAAGAAGCGTACGAGGACGAATACGAGACTGAATCAGATCCAATAGAGGAATCTGAAGAACCGAAACTCTCTAAAATAACCAATGATGCGACGAGACATGAACAGTCATCGCCTGCTCCATCCTCCAAGGTGGAGGACGCGTCTAGGGATGAAGATTATGTTGAGGATCCCTCGACGAGTCAATACGACGCCTATTATTATTATGACGATTACGAAAGCAATAATCGATCGCGATACGTGGCTGTAGGTAAGATCGATAAAGCTTAATCTTATTTTAGATACAAGGTCTGATCAAAAACTTCGAGGACTTTATGTACAAATCACTTATTCTCAAGGAGAAACACCGCTGTGGCGGCCGGTAAAATGTTTTCAGGAATAGCTTGTAGTTTTCAAATAAAATTTGCATTACGTACATAGTTTTAGTATTATGTATGTCTTGGGAGATTTAAAAAAAAATTGCAAAAATTTTAATATACGATTGAACTTTCCCAGATAGCACCGCACATCCTAAGGACGTCCATTTCAGGTCCAATTTATATCCGAATGTCCTACGTCCATTTTGGACATTCCTAGAACGTTTGTAAGACTATAAATTTCGGATGTTCTATAAACGTCCGTTCCAAAAGTCCTACGGATGTTCTTAAGATTTAAATTTCGGATGTTCTAGAAACGTCCGTCCCAAAAGTCTTACGGATGTTCTCAAGACTTAAATTTGGATGGTTTCGTTTAGTACTTTTGCCAATACCACTCCGTGCAAGGTGATGGAACTTCATGAACAAGGTGTCAGTCTTTAAAGAATCAATAGAGAAATGTAACGACACTAGTGGTTTTGTGCGAAAACCTCAAGAAAGTTAAAAAAACTAACCAACACAGAATCAGAGTTTTGCTGTGAAAATAGAAATAAACAATTGTGTTTATTTCTATTGTTACTTGGAGATCATAATCCCTAGACCTATATTTTCCTTATAATTCCTTACAAAAAATTTAACCTTTTATTTATTAACAGGAACTAACTAGATTTAATTTCTACTAAGTGCGGAAATCGCATGAAAGTTAATCTTTTATTTGTTAAACACAAACTAACCTAACCTAACTCCTGTCACCTTCCACGGAATGAAACCTAACCGCAATTTTAAACATTTGGAAAACGTTTTTTATACGTCTTTTAAGACATTACCATAGCGTTTTTAAAATCTCTTTAAACGTTCCCAAAACGTACAGAGAATGTTACTTTTATACATTCGGGAAACGGTCTGAGAATGTTGACACAGGATGTCCTCGGGACGTTCCACTTTGTAAATAGGACCTTCCTAGGACATTTAAAGATCTTAACGAGGACCTAACGGGGATATATGGACCTTTTTGCGGGACGTCCTCCGAATGTACAGAACGTCCGGAACGTGCGTCCATCGGAGGACGTACACAGAACGTTTTTGTGCTATTTGGATTTAGACACCTCACAAAAAAACATAGCTCGCTGACGGGATGTGTAACTTCGGGACAACAGCTCCGAAATGAAATGTGAAAAAGTTTTTATAAACTACATCAAATTGGTTTCCGTTACACGTACGGAACATATTTAGAAAATAAAAGTTCGAAAATTCACAAAAGAAATAGACAGTTTTTCGAGCGTATTTTAAAAGATGTACTTTCGATCACAAAATCCGTAAAGGCAACTGATGGTAATCTTGTTTTACGAATCCTGTCAAAATGTCAAGTCAATTGAATAAAAATCGACAGAGTTATCGCAGCTGCCAGATAGAAAAATTTAGTTTGGAGAAAAAGGCGTTTAAAGTTTGATTTCGAATTAACTGTGTAACCAACATGCATTGTATCTTCGTAACTTAAAAAAAATTGATTTCTTTAAGTTTCTCAGTGGTGTTCCCCCTTAATATTGATAATAATTACATAGGATCACACCTTCAAAATAATCTCCTCCTGCCCTCATGCGTGTACCTTTGAAATCTCTTTCTCCAGTTTTCGAAAACGGTGCGGCAAGTAGACGTCCTAACTCCTCCTATGATTTCTTTATTGTTGTTTCTCGCGTAGCGAAACGTTGTCATTTTACCACCCGTTTAAGACAAGGGAAGAAAAATACAATTTCTTAAAATTAATCGTAACTGGGGACGAAAGTTAGATTCATATTTACGATGCTTTTGTATCCACATTGCAATCACAGTCCCATGCTTCGCCCCCACCCCCAAATTACGATTAATTTTATGATTATTTTAAAAGGACGACATTTTGCCAAACGAAAGACAATAATTATGGAATCGTAGGAGGAGCTGAACTTGATTTCAGCATCCGCTTAGCGCGCAACATTCGAAAACTGCGGCAGAAGGAGATTACTTTGAAGGTGATCCTATGTAATTATTGTTAAAATTGTTTATTTTGATCAGACCTTGAATATCAATCGAGAACTCTAACCTCACTTAACATCGAAGTCACACACTCGTATACATACTCGGCGTCACAATAATCTGGGGTAATTCTGATAGGCGAAACCTCTACTTCGATTTCCATGAGTTGACTTTCCTCTGGTTTGATTCTAGGCAACAAGACGGGAGATTCAAAATGGATTATTTTGTCCGAAAATTTTACAAAATCAAACGACTCTATGGAGTTGACAAATTTTTCTCATTACACTCTTAACATAATAAAGTATGCAAGCACCACGAATGAATAAATAATCATATGACATAAAATAGTCTTTCTACAAATAATAACTTTCTAGAAATTACACACGGACACGTGGACTGATCTGACAGTTAAGTTATACTGCACGATGGTAGTGAAACCCCAATGACAACGATCAAGATCAGAATTAAGAAACCGCTAAAATCGATTGCCCGGTACGATAAACACGAAATCGTCATTCAGCAACGTGAACCACATTTAACAATTTTTCTTATGATGTAACGGCGACCATGTCATATATTATAATTATGATCTTTCTAAAGCTATTACCGCGGTTATATAAGGTTCGTTTCATCAGCCGTGCGTCGAGTAAGCGTCGTGCGTGGTGAAAGACCATTTCAATCGTGTATGTACCAACATAGGTACACCTCAGCCACGATTGTCATAAAAACATTTCATGAAAGGCGAACAAAAATTTTACAGCGAACGCCGATAACCTCGATTATCCGGACGGAGAAGAAGAAGAAGAGAAGGAAGAAGCAGAAATCGAAGAAAACGAGAGGAAACAAGATGGCGACGAGGAAGCGACGAGAAGGACACAGCGAACGAATCACGACTCCTCGGAAAAAGATGAAGAATACGAAGAGGAATCGTTTCACACGCGGAACGGGAACAATTCCTCGTCTGATCTCACCAAGGAAAAAGATCCGGACACGCGGATCGCAACAACGAACTCCGATGATGGTACGTCGATGGAGGGCAGCGACAAAACCTTCACGTTCCTAGGACCACCCAGCGCGGATGATGCAAACTCCTCCTCGGCGGACAGTTCGATTTTGATCGGCGAAGCGGTGGTGTCCGTGGTGACGACAAAAAGCGTGGTAAACGGCACGATATCCGTTCCAACGACCTCGTCGCCGACCGCCACGGAACAAGTCGCCCCGCCGCCATCTTCTGTCGCCGTGGTGACGACGGAACAACCGGTGACGATGATCACCACGGAGGACACGTCCAGGATACTGGCGTCCGTCCAAACCAGCCGCAGCATATCCGGCGCACGGTTTCTCCCATTCCCGGTGATAGATCGCGTAGAGCCGATCAATCCTAACGGCGAGAAGAAGACTTCGCCGCCCCCGGAATCCACAGAGAGCATCATCGACAAGCTGGATCGTGTCCAATCGGAGCTGTCCAGCGGCTTCCTAGCCGGTGGCTTCAGAACGGCTGGTAACTCTCTGCAATTGGACGTTTTGAACGACAGAGATAGAAACAACAGAAGAAGGTTCACCACCACCGCCAGGACTCCCGTCATCAGCAAATTCGTGCCACGACGGTACAACGATAAGAGAACGGACCATGGAAACGCCACACCGAAACCGCGCACAGGAACCACGCTGGATAGCCTGGAAGGACTTTTACCGCGTGATTACGTCGCGAGGGTTCCTGGTGGCACCGTTGCACCCTCGAAGATTGCTTTCAGGTTTGTTGTAATTGTTCTCCGTCGTTTTTCATAATGGAATCCTTGTGTAATCAACTCTTGACAAGAACATTGCTCGTGGTAGAAACTGATATTTGATCACAGACTAGTATAATAAATATTAGGAAAAGATAGCATGCGCCGGGTCACCATTCTGCTTTCGTCTGACTTCTTATTTCTTTTTTCTCGTTATAATTCTAATAATGTAAAATATTGTAAAAAATCAATTGGTTGGTCCGTTTAGGTGGCCTGCCAAGAGTACCACGACGCTGGAAGCAACAACATCTCAATTGACTACAACTCCTATCACTCCTACTATTACCACTTCTATTCCGACTACGAAAAAATCGAAGACGGGCTTGGTAGTACAGGATATCAGTGCCTTCTTGCCACCTGGCTACAAATTGAAAAAAGAAGATTCAACTGTTACGGAGAGCTCTGTATTAAGTGATATTCTTGCAAAATCTAAAGTTGATATTTCATCGCTGTTGCCGCCAGATTATAACAACAAGAAGCACGAAGGTAGCTCAACTATGAAAAGTCAGGTGACTACGTCGATGGCGACAGCGAAAAGCGTGGAGGTTTCGTCGGAAAAGTCGCCACCGGGAAAAACAATACAGGATTTATTCGCGAAATCGGTGTTTAACATTTCATCTTTACTGCCGCGCGATTACGAAGAAAAACGACCGAATCTAACATCAGAGATAAAAGCCGTTGAACTGCATCCTGAGAACACTACAGAATCTTCTACAACAATGGAATCTGTTTCTTCCACGACCGCAAAATCTGGTGGTTTGAAGATTGTGTTCCCCAGCAGACCAGGGGGACGAAAACCTATTCATAAAATTACTACGCCGCAACCGCCTCGCGGTGATGGATCAGGCACAGTTACGCCAAAAATACAAAGAGGTTGGCCAACCAGGTGATTCTTTTAAATGTATTCCGAAAACTCAAAGTTAAATAGTAACATCCGGTTTTTAATTCGAAATATAACAAGTAAATGCATTCAAATGCAAATTCTGACAGCCAAGTTTTAATTTTAACGATTAAATTCAAACATTTTTAGGGATTAACCGTAGACTCGACTTTCAACGGTTACATTCAAATTCGAATACAAACGGACCGTTTCAAACTTAGATCCCGACCGTTAGATTTATATTCAAATTAAAACCGGCCACTACAATTTCAACGAACTTGAATTCCAACGAATCAATACAAATTTACACTTAACTTATTATTTAAATTTAATGTTTAGATAATAATTCAAATTTTAGTTCAAGCATGTACACACATAAATATATGTATACTATAAAAATTTTAATTCGGACACAAACAATTTATATTAAAATTAAAATTGTAGAGCTACTACAGAATTTACTGGCTGGCCTACCCCGTCCACAACACCAATTTCGATAGAAAAGTTGCTAGAAGCTGCTCGAACTGCAACCATAGCATCCCTAAACGCGTCGCTTATACCAATAACTGAAATGACATCGAGCACTTCAACCACGACTACAACAACGACTACGCCTAGGCCAACCACTCCAGGAACTTGTGAACAAGATTGCGAAGTCGCTGGTACAATAAAGATAATTGGTAACGCAACCTGGGTACCGGAATTGCTCGATCGAAATACTCAAGAATGGCAGAATTTAGCCAACGAAATTGAACAACAGGTACGTAATCACGGAAATTTGTTTTTTTAATAGTAGAATACAATCTACCTTTCAGAATTTTACAAAACTTTAACTGCGCCACTTTTTTTGTAGATGAATTTCATATTTTTCAAATCGTCCGTTTTGACAAAATGGTACAAGAGAGTACGGATTGACTCGTTCAGGTAGTAGTTTGGACTATTTACCTTTCTATCACAGAATTATTACAAAAAGAACTGGTTCCATCAAGTAATGTATTAAACGATTTCAGCGAAGGAAGTATATTAGTAGACTATTTCGTCGAACTAGCAAACTTGGAGCAGAAAATCAACACGCAAGAGTTGAAAGTAATTTTCCATGATTCGTTACGGACGTACAACGCAAACAGATGGAATGATACAAAGGCCAAAGACGCGATAAAATTAGGATCATTTATAATTGACCCAAAGTATACGGATTTTGTGGGTATGTTACTTTATTGTCAGATGTTTATTTTACAAAATGCATGTGTCGATGATCAACATAAAAATAATTTTTTTTTAGTAATACCTAAAGCAACTACTCCTCAGTACATTGAAAAAGATGACAGATTGTTCCCACAATGGGCTATTGCTGTAATTGTTATCGGTGTTGGTGGATTACTCTTTATTATTATATTTGGGGTCTCTGTCGTAAGTATATCATTATCACAAGAAAAATGTTTAATGCACATAGGTCATTACATAAATTAATTATAATAAATTATGTTTAATCTGATTAATTTTCAGCTTTTAAATCGTCACAATGCTTCAAAACTAAAACCATCTGTATCCGCGATTTATGAAGAGGAAGTAGCAAAAAATATATCCACTCATAACAGATCCAGTGACTATTCAAAACCGGTACATACAATATGGACCGACCCAGATGTTTCTTGGAATGATAAATCTTTTGAATCGACTTCTAATAAGGTGAAACTCCAAAATATATTTAATATAATGAAATATTTTCAAAAGAAATCTTGAATGGTTTAATAAATTTTTAATACTAAAGGCAATGTAGAATAAATTATTGATATTTCATAGTGGTACATTCTATTATGTATATGTTTACAGAATTTTATATTCTTTATGGGATATATTGTCCAATTAATAGTAAGCGTCTATAAATGCATAAGTATATCATATACTTCTTATTTAATTTAAAGGTACTCGTCGAAAAACCGTTTCAAGACCACAAAAAATATAATATGTATGATAGCTGGCGATCGGAATGGAACGGTTACTATTATAATGGGTCTCACACCAGCAGCAAATACGGCGGCTACGACAGTACGACAAATTTATCGAGTCGTCATCATCCTGATTATGACACGAATTTTTGAAGTTGATGGTAATAAAATAAAATTTCTATCAACTCTATTTTCATTTAATTTATTCAGTGCCTTAAATAAGTATGTCATCAAATACTACCACGCTGATGTGTATAAATTGCTTTTAAACAATGAAAAATGTTACATTATAAAACAATTACATTTTATATTATATCAGGATATACTAGATTATTGTATAGTATTCTGTATAGTTGTTATATATAATATTGAACAAGCATTTTCTTGTATTTTACACTTGAGAATTGTTATAAAATAATTTGATCATTCTTATTACTGATTACATAAATTTTATTGTTTATTCTAGTCAAAAAAATAACTGATCACGGTGTAAAATTAGTATTTAAAAGTACTTAAATGTTTCTGTAACATAAACATGTTCATTCTAATTTCAATTAGGAGGGTTATTATAATTTTTAAAAAAGAAAAAATTTGTTGTGCTCATTTGTCTCCTTTTCTGTTTTATTCACTTTCAAAGTAATTAAATAAAAATATAGAGTTCGGTAACAAGATGTTGAATATATATACATATATATATATATATATATGTATATATATTACATACGTCTTGTTTGGCACATACAAAAACTAAAAAGATTCTACAGGATCAAAATAATTTACTTGGTAAGGATAATAATTCCATAATTGGAGAAATTTTTGTTTCCTCTTTAGGAGTTACATGACGTTTTAGAATGCTCAACAATTTTTGGTACAGGAAGGAATGTCTGTAAAAAACATAAATACAATTAAAATTTGTAAATTATAATTACTATACATATAAATATTTTAAATAAATTATTACCTGCTAGCTGGTTTACATATGGATAAATGATCTTGAGCAATTTCATAAAATTCACCGACACCAGGATCTAAAGTAAATATAAATACTTTTAATTATTAATGTAATTACGATATTATAAAAAACTCTCTTTGAATTCATACCAGCTGAATTAGAAGTAACGAACTGAAATGGAACCTTCAACGCAGTCACAAGTGTTGATTTAGTTTCACTAAAACTAACAATTTCTATGGGAAATTCCTTCAACATGTCTAAAAATTCTTCGTGCAATTGTAACAAATGTGGTGATTCTAAACAAAATAGCATTCCATAAAATTTTCTGGAACAAGCTTAAAACTGTAGTATAACAATTTTGTATACCTTCGCGAAGTTCCTGTACTTCCACCGATGGCCACACCAGCATTTGTGTTGTTTGTGTTAAAACTGCTACTCGAGAACCTCGATGGGGTGTACTATAAAATATTATGCCGCGAGTATTTTTACATATATTATTTTTATCGCCATTTTTCCATTCTGTATGGAGGAAGTAACGACAGAAAAAAATGAATTACTATGGAAGTAAAGAGACACAAAGAACGATAACAATTAACATTCGAAGACAATGAAATTAACCAACCATCAACAAGCATCTTTTTTACTAGTAAACCACCCATTGAGTGACATACCCATATTGTTTGTCGTGTTCCAATACCTGCAGTTACTAGTTTCCCAATATATTCTTCACTTCTTTCTCTCAATGTGGCTCTAAACGATGTAGTCACGAATTATTAATCATTTTAACGATAACGTAGCTCTGTTACACAATGATACCATATTAACTCTTACTTCATGCCTTCTATCGGACACAAAGGAGTCCACATTGACAAATTCGAATCGTAATTCACTCCAATAACTCTAATGTATGGAACATCTTCAGGTAACCAATCTTTTGGCCAACACTGTGTCCTATACCTTCTATCACGTTCACTTTTTTTTACACAATGATCGTCCCTAAAACATCGAATTTTTCAGTAGATATCTAGCATTTTTTTAAGATAAATGAACATTATTATTAAGAAAACTCTACCCGCTACAGGAATATGGTCCACACGCTTTCTCATTAGTATTTTGAGGAAAGTCATCTAAAACCACTTCAAAATCTTGCCCTAATCTAGCCCATTCACGCTTTCTCAAATCATATGCTAAATCTCTTAAAAACTCTTGAGATTGTTCACCTATCATGGTTGAAAGATTATCAGTCCCATGATCCACCATGTAAGGATCTATAATAAATGTCATTATTTGAATTACTTTTGAACCTAACTAAAGTGTTAATAAATGTTATCACTACTAGTACCACAATATTAATGTATGTTAATAGATACACATGTCACTATTCACTCTAAAAAAACACTACAAATCAGTTGTTAAATGAATTTACATAATGAAGAATACATTTTTTTATTAATTCTAATACTAACAAACCTACAACACCATGTGTGGGTATTTCTTCATCTCTTTGCCTCCAAGTTACAAACACACCACCAAGAAGTCCGTGGAGAAAAACAACATCTAACTTTGTATTCGTTCTAGTCTTATATAAAGGGTGAAGAAGATAAACGCGTCTTGGATATTTAACACATTCGTTTTCGTCATCTAAATTTGCTAATGCGCGACTTGCTGGTACTGATAATCTTATATCAAAATTATGAGACCATTCTACTAATGCACCAACCCATCCTTGCAAAGAAAAATTATATTAAAATAATAAGTAATATTTTATGGGTAACACAATTAAAATTTATTTACCTGCTTGAAAAATTTGTTCCAAATATTCTGAATGAAGAGAAATATTGGAAATTATCTTTGCAAGTAATATGCAGATATTAATATTATCATTAAAAATTTTTTTTATCATCATCAATACTTGAAGTCCTCCTGCTTCAACAATATCTGAAAGTAAAAACTAATGTATAAAGTATAAGATACCTACAGCACTGATGGGGTATAAGAATAGACCTTCCATCTTATGGGAGTTGGTGGCCCACCTAAGCTGTAGTGCCAACACCTTAAAAAGCCTGTGATTTTAGTGACCTAACACGTAAATCTATGGTGGGTAGTGACACTAAAATGGAAATGGGGTAACGTAATCCCAGAAAAGTGGGCTCCAATATTACATTGGATGAAATGTCTAGTCATATACCTAATCTGTGCCTAAAGTAAGTTTTGCATTTCATTATTTTACCTTTACTATACTGTTCAAGACAAGAATGATGACATAATGCTTGAACACAACTCTGCAATAATTCCTGATCCCATATTACAGCTGGAGAAGCAGCTAATCCTATGCTTGATAAATCGTGATCGAATACCAAACCATCCTGTTCGTTTCATACTTTGCAGATAATTAAAGTGCGCAGAAAACAGTTTGTACATTACAGCTCTCAAATTTTTATACAACATATACTTACACGTTGTGAATCTCTGAATTTATTATTCAAAAACTGAATGAGACATGGATGTGTATTTTTAGATAACGTATTTAAATGAAGGAGCAAACAATGTGCTTTTTCTATTACATCCTGAAAAAATATAATTCGTTGTTACATTTTTTTATAAAGAAAATTCAGTAACAAATGATTTTGGTACATACGTATAATTTATGCTGTGCATGATAGTATGGTGGCTTTAAAAAAAACTTTGTATCAACGTTTGGCATTCTTGCTAGAGACACTGCAATTTTAGCATCCAACATCTGTGCAATATGTTGATAATGCCAATCTATAAATTTTTATTTTAAACTTAGTCTCTGTTTAAGTGAAATTATGTTATATAATAAACAGAAAAATACCTTTCAAATATTTTAAGGAATTTAATGTGTGCATGGCCTTTAATCGTTCTGTTTTATCTCCATTCTGTGCCATATGTAATAATTTGTATGCTACATTACGATTTAGCGATTTCCACCATTTCATTATGACATGACTGAAAGAAAATGATTGTTCTGGTACAAATGTTTGCAAGTTTTCAGTCTTTCGAAACATAAACACATCTAAAATTATAATGTAAAGAAATACATTTGTTGTACATGATTTTATTGAACTATTTAAATATAATGAATGCATAAAGTATCACAGTATTTCATAAATACCTTTATATCGAGGATCGTCAATATAAATATATTGTGCGTGTGCTTGTTCTAAGTTTAAAGCATTAGTGGGTACTGTAGATCTTAAAATCTGTGACATTTGTCGTAATTGGCACAGAAACCAGCAACTCCTTTACAAAAGATGTCATTGTTACAATTGCATAACAAATTTTTAAAGTTATCTTATTAAAAGATGTATATATTAAAAACTAACCCCATCACAACAATACAAATTCCTGTTGATTTTAAATAGTATACATATTTTTTGTAAGTTTGTCTCCCCATCGTGCTAAAAAAATGATTCTATTCTGCCCAATTCTGCCATAAAAGCAAAGTACATACACATAAGTACATAGTATTCGTTTCGTCAGAACATTTGAATGTATACATAAACAGGTATGCCAAATTAAACGTATTTGTTACCTGCACTTGCGTTTTCGATAGCAATTAATACGCATCGAATGCATCGAAAGCCATTATTGTATTATTCTCAGCCTTTACACTGATGCAATGATCAGTGATCTGACTGAGTGATGTGATCCCAGAATCGTGGGATTTTCGCGCGAGCGCATACCCTCTCCATGCCTCCCGTGGTTATTCTACACAAGCATATGTAGCCTGTCCGTGTGAGCTCTGCCCCTACTACGTCCTACTCGGAGACTCACCAACACAAGCGTTTTCTACCTCTGCCGTGTGCGCTCTGCTTCGGGTGTTCTCGGCAAAAGTCTACGTCACGCGTTTACGACGCGACGGCCAAGTGTCCCAAGCCAGGTCAAAAATCCCAAATCCCAAGCAACCTAAAGTTACGTCCTAAACGCGGAGAGCTGCATGATTTCTCTCACGCGCTCGTGATGAAGACCCAGTCCGAAACCCCGTCCGAAACCCCGTTCTTATCCCGATGCGACGGTTTTACTTTTTATTTTTAATTATTGTATAATTTCATTTTGTAATATGTCAGTAAAATAAAAACTTCGAAGATATTGATTTAAGAAGCATTTTAAAAAAATGGGAGATGAATTTATTCCTCTTCAATATTTAAATTTTATATTAAACAAATACATATTCTCTTACATATACACAAATTATTCGTACAATTAGATGTTACCTTCATTCTAATTATTACAGTACCTACATATGAAAACATTGGAAGAAAAATCCATTACATTAATATGTTACGTATAGTAAAATGAAAGCTTGGAAGATATTAATTTGAGAAGCATTTTCAAAATTAGATTTTTTTCTTAAGCTGGTCCACGCATATGCATTTTTTTAGATTTGATGTCGGTGAGCATGGATAGTATGCATGGAAATTCAACACATCGTCTTTTCTTTTTGTCCTCTAAATAATGTCACAAGTGTTCCGTCCTCAATATGGACTTTCTTTATTCACGGTGTATTAACTTTTTGGGCGGCTAAAATGCTTCTTTCAAAATCTGGGAAATTCCTAACAACCCCTTTTGAAATAATCGGATAATAATGTATTCGGCGCGCGTATAATTGCACCTAATTCAAAGACCCTTTACGTTAAAATAGTTTCTAGGAATTCAATACCGTCCTACTTTTCGGTAATAAAGCATTTCCAAATTACGTGTTACATTGAGCCACCGTGCAGTCTCGTTATTGTCTCCATTTACGATTCCTAGCATATAACCCATAGACATGTATGTATAGACGGAGCATGAACTGAGCGGGGGAGTAAGATTCGCGGTAAGGGGGTGGTTAGTTATACATCGGGTAACTTCGTTCCTTTTCGGTGCTATTCGGGTATACAATCACGTGACATACATGTATGCTATGAGAAATGAAAAGAATATACTTATTATACGTTAAAAATTCCGTATGTTATGTAGTTTGTATAGATATATGTATTTAACAAAATTAATAAAAGAGTATAAGCCATTAAATAATAATACGGCACACAGCCCATCAGTGATTAATAACGAGCCGAATCGAGCCGAATCGAGTCGAATGCGTCCGAAGCTAACCGACGTATATCTAACGACCGCTGAAAAGACAGCGACTCCTCCAATCCTACGGTCCCCTCGCCCAAAGTGGTAGCTTATGCTCCGTCCATATGTATGTCTATGTTACAGCGAACGAACGGAAGAGAATCCGTTCACGACCATGGTCCCTTCGATGATTTTCCGACGTACCGAACACTCATGATCTGACAACATTGCGTACTTTAGACTCGACAACACTGTAGAAGTTAGACTAGTTGAGCCCGAATGGATTGAACGTAGTTCCCAAATTCACCGTTCTCATAACGTAGAGGGCAGCCGAAAATCCCTGACTTTTTACACGATCGGTATTTCAGAACATGAGACACGAAGTCCCATAAGATGATAGATCTATTCGATACCTCGTCGGTGGTACTATTGTATGTGCGCAGTCTAATGTATTATATAGAAGCGTGGTTTATTCTTATACCACAGACGAGGCATAGGACAGTATAGGAGTAGACCTTTCATCCAATGTATTTCTTCGGCCCACTTTTCTGGGGTAACCATCCTATACCTCGTCTGTGCTTATACCTTTCGGAGCTACTAGTTACTTTGGAATTATTCAAACAGATACCATAGAGTTATCGTTTCGATATCTGAAGCAGATACCTCTTGGATGTCTACAAGATACCTAAAAGATGCCGAAAAGGCTGACCTTTGATATCATTGGGCTACCGAAAAGATATATCTTTTCAGACAGAATTAAGGATATCTTGTATATCTTTCATGGGGTGCTTAAAAGACACCTTTTAGGCACCTCAGTGTTATGTGAGATATTATCAGAAAATTATAATGATTTTAGAGAAAAATCGATGAAACGTAGGAATTTCGAAGTTGTGTACAAAGCATTAGACGATACTAGGGTAAAGTCGGTAAAAGGCCGTGAAACACGACCAATGTAAACGCGGCTGCTCCAGTATACGAAAGACAACCTCGAGGCGCTACTCGCGCCTCGCGCACTAACTCTTTGGTCTTTTTGCTTCCTATATTATACGGTACAAGCGGTACAAGCGGTACAAGCGGTACAAGTACAGTACGTCCACCGAAGTACTGACGTTTCGTTGTGCCATCGCATGGCCGACGTGTGCATTCCGAGGTTCACATTCACGTGGTACCCGCTGTGTCACAAGTATCACGTTTAAAACGTTGTAACTGTGGCAAACATCAACATCGTTGATAAGAATGTGAGTGAAAGGAGAAGAATCCAAGAATTTGGTTTCGCTACCGAGTTGAACGGGAATTCTTTTCCGAACACGTTCTTTCTGACATAATCCGGTATAAACTGGATCGAAGCAGATTCATCGATAAACGGATTGATCGTGTTCGTTTCAGAGAAAAATTCGTCAATCCGGCCTTTCACATCGACACGGGCCACTTTTACCAGAATTCGTCTCCCGTCGGTGGTAAAAGATTAATTCGATAGGAACCCGTAAACCGCGACCACGCGACACAACGCGCAGCAATGTCCAACGAAGAGACTTCCGCCGACCGCAATGTCGAGATCTGGAAGATCAAAAAACTCATAAAAAGCCTGGAAATGGCCAGAGGGTAAGTAGGTTGAAATTTACGTTGCTGCGCCTCCTCATTATCAGCTGTTCGATTTTCCGTTCATACATATGTTTTAGTGCATGCCGTAAGTAGAAAGTAACGGGCTTCTCCTTCTCGAATTTCACGGGATCCCGTAAAAAAAGAAACGTTCACACATTTTTAAGAGTTCAACGGGCATTCGAGGTTTTGCGATTAGTTATTAAATTTTGTATTATATCATAAGAGTAGAAATTTTTGTTGCTCTGTTACTAATACAACCTTATGTAAGCAGATTGTCTGGCAATGTAGTATTGTTTACTATGAATAATTATCAGCATTAAATACAGGTGTTTTCCTTTGTAGGAATGGAACTAGCATGATTTCGTTAATCATCCCTCCTAAGGATCAAATATCAAGAGTAAGCAAAATGTTAGCGGATGAGTTTGGAACAGCGTCAAACATTAAATCGCGTGTAAATAGATTATCTGTTTTGGGTGCAATCACATCGGTACAACATAGGCTAAAATTATATACTAAAGGTAATTATATTTATTTTATTATTGTAATCACATGTTTCTCATAAAAAAAAACATGTATTCTTAATGCATGCATATGTGTAGTTGTAGCATAATCATATTATGTTCTTCAGTTACATAAACTATATATTATTTATTATAGTGCCTCCAAATGGCCTGGTTATATATTGTGGAACTATTGTAACAGAAGAAGGAAAGGAAAAGAAGGTCAACATTGATTTTGAACCTTTTAAGCCTATTAATACTTCTCTTTATCTTTGTGATAACAAGGTACTTTATTGTTTTCTATGTTCGATAAGGATTTGTGATAACTAAATGCAGTAAAATAAATTTCAACATACGCTTTATTATTTTTTAGTTTCACACTGAAGCACTAACAGCATTACTTGCGGATGATAACAAATTTGGTTTTATAGTTATGGATGGTAATGGAGCATTGTTCGGTACTTTACAAGGAAATACTCGTGAAGTCTTACATAAATTTACTGTAGATCTTCCAAAGAAGCATGGTACATAAATAATTAATCAATTAAGAAAGCAAAGATATACATCTGTCAAATATGTATTTACTCGAAAACGTGATGATAATTTTCTGAATACAATTTTAGGCAGAGGTGGACAGTCAGCTCTCCGTTTTGCTCGATTACGTATGGAAAAACGACACAACTATGTTCGAAAAGTTGCAGAAGTGGCGACACAATTGTATATTAGTAATGATAAACCTAATATTGCTGGTTTAATTTTGGCAGGTAGTGCTGACTTCAAAACAGAGCTTAGTCAATCCGATATGTTTGATCCAGTAAGTTTGTACACATCAATAATGTACCTATACATACAACAATTATTACACTTACAAAAATGTACAATTTTAATGTGTGTTGGACTTAATTCTGTATTTTATTCTTTAGAGATTACAAGCAAAAGTTATAAAGTTAGTAGATGTTTCATATGGTGGAGAAAACGGTTTCAATCAGGCTATTGAACTAGCTGCTGAATCCTTACAGAATGTAAAATTCATCCAAGAAAAAAAATTAATTGGTAAATATATGCTTGTTGGAATAAACGTTAATTACAAATTTATTTAAAAAAATATATACAATCTATTGTGTTTTATCCAGGTCGTTATTTCGATGAAATTTCCCAAGACACAGGAAAATATTGCTTTGGTGTAGAAGATACATTAAGAGCACTCGAGTTAGGCAGCGTGGAAACACTTATTTGTTGGGAAAACTTAGATATTCAACGATATGTTTTAAAAAATCATACGAATGCGGAGGAGAAAGTTTCACATCTAACGCCAGAGCAAGAAAAAGACAAAACTCATTTCACTGATAAAGAGGTCAGTTGAAAGTTTAAATAAGCTTTCGATTTATTTTTTAGTATTGATCGTTTAAGTATAGATAGCATTAACTCATTTGCATCAAGCACTTAGAAGCTCTTGAAGTTACCTACGACATGGATATGCAGTTGATAATTCACCTGTGTTCTATCGACAATTTTCGCATCTTATTTTAATTGACTTATTTCTTTACTTTTATTCCGTATTCGAATTATTTCCTGTCTAGAAGTAAATGGGTTAATAATTGAGCAATAAGTAAATTTTATTGAATGTTCCATATTACATCTAGAGCGGAGTAGAATTGGAACTTGTAGAGTGTCAGCCTTTGCTAGAATGGCTCGCAAACAATTACAAGAGTTTTGGTGCCACCCTGGAAATCATTACAGATAAATCTCAAGAAGGGTCTCAGTTTGTAAGAGGTTTTGGTGGCATTGGAGGTAAGTTTACAGTTTCATTTCTCTTATATTGCTACTAGCTCCAACTCAACTGAAAGTAATATACACGTGAAACAATAATTTGTATTCGTCTATTTAATGTGTGTACTAACAGAAAAGCGGCAGATTCCACTTGACTAACTAGTGACTAAGAGTAAAGTTTGTAATTTTAACATTTGTATATACTAAAAAAAATTTGGATGAAGCTCCGAAAAGGTTCACCTTTCGATTTTTATAAAACTTTGTAAAATCGTCCCAAATACTCCCAAATAAACATACGTAAAAAGTTACTTGACGCTATTGAAAATTAACTTAAATAACACTAAACTAATGAATAAGTCTTTATACACTAAACACACGAAGTTACGTAACACGTAGAATGACCATTTCACCTTGCAGCTGAAGTGACATACAACGTCTTGCGGTGTTACAATAATTTTTTTTTAAACTGTCCCAAACTAATTATTGTATGTGTGACCCACCCACATAATACAAAAGAAAACACGCTTTATGTATTGTTACCATAATATTAACTTATCTGTTATGACAATAAATAAGTATCCCATTATTTTAGCGTTATCGCAGTTAATTTTCAGTTGCGCCAAAAAACCTTTTATACAAGTTCATTTGGTGGGAGTATTTGGGACGATTTTACCAAGTTTTATGAAAATAAGAGGATGGACTGTTTTCGGAACTGCAGCCAAAATTTGTAACATTTCTTAGAACAATTTAGAATTGGGGACTGGTTTCTTGGACTAGTTTCTTACATGTAAAACATATTTCGAGTAGGAATCATAATTTACATGAATATTTAATTGAAAAGTGGTATGAAAAAGTAATAAAAAAATGGTCTTTATCGAAACAGTACATGAGTTCGTATATATAAAAAGTAAATGGTATTGAGAAAAGGTTGGAAACACTATTATTAATTATGGAGTATATCTTAATGCATAGGAATCCTCCGCTACAAAGTTGACTTCCAGTCACTGCAGGCTGATGAGCCTCTTGATGATGTTGACCTCGATGATTACTAATTTCATCTGTGAAATACTCAAAGTTGACCAGGTAGCTCTTTCTCTGTCTTGAGTGCATTCGTTTATATTTTGTGTATCATAGAACATATTACTTTCAGAACTGGACAAATTTATCAGGAAATTTATATCTGTCATATTAGCATATATAAAAAAAGAGTAAAGTAATTATGCATCATATTGTTATTGTATGTACTATTTAATGAAAAGTTGTGGAATATCACATGTTTGTACACTAGATGTATTTGCTACTAGTAATTTAACTAATCATCATATATTTATATTTTAAATACAGATATAGTGTAATGTATTACTTGAATAACACAAATAATGTACTCATCATGAAGAGATTATTTCTCATCTCGCATTGAGATTAATTTTTTATTAATTTAATATTATTAGTATTATACAAGATTATGATAAAATATCTTTGTTACACTACTGAAGTTTTATGATAGCCAAAGATAAATATACTCAGCATATAATTATGTATTATACGATAAATTTGTCCAAAGAAAATTTGCAATTTCTTCTGTTGGGTTTCTCACTGAATACTATAGTTCCAATACTTCTGTGCAGATTTGTAGTATCATATATATGTCTCTTCTGATGAGTTTGAATGTGGATATAGATATTTTTTAGTTGAAAATTCCGAGGTATAATGTTTATTTTCACAAATAAAGAGCCTGAAAACTTCGTTGTCTTCCTTTTTTCTTGGTGGTACAAAAAATTAAGAAAATCTTGTATATATATAAGATATGGATATTTGTATTTCAAGATGGTGAGTTCAAGTATTCTAATATATAATCTTTATATCTTGAATATTATTAGATCCATTCTTAATATTTAGCGATGTACATTCTATTGTTAGTGATTAAAGTCAAGATGTAGATGCAATACATAATAATAATGAGTATAATGGAAAAATAGCACTGCTTAGTTCTATAAACACAGTTTTCTTTCTTTCTACATAATGCATTTTATTCTGTTGCTTTGTTGTATATTTCTAACTGATCTTGAAAAATTAATTGTAACACTCATTATTTATACATACGTTTAGTCATTTGTTCACATAAAACAGTATTTCTAACGATTTCATTTTTAACGGTGTTAGTTTAATCTATTAGTTCAAGTACTTTGTTGCTTTATAAAATTATAGATGTGTGTTATATTAGTGATATTATAATAAGTACTTATAGCTATGATAATACTTTAATGTAAAGAATAATAACTTGTGAAAAATTCATTTCATAGAAGTTTACATTTCATAATAGTGTCACTTTATATAATCAGAAATTATGAACCAAATATTCATAAAATTGCAGTGTATGTGAAAAATACGTGTATATATATACATATATATATATCTGATTTTCAACAAAAATATAAAAGCCACTAATTCTAATTTTATTCTGCAGTAGATATATCGTGGAAATTTTTATTATCTGCATGTAAAGCTTTTTAGTATTTATCTTGAAAAATTTAAAAGTTTTATCACTATTTCACAAATATTATTTTGGTATAGTATGTTTATCCTTTACAAACATTTATTTATATGTCATCAAATTTCTTTCTGACATTTCATATAAAGTCGTCATTCATTCTTTGAATAGTCATATATTGAGCACTCATATATTACATAATCACAGAGCCATTGTTTAATAGATACAGGAAATGTCAGCTAACTTGATCACCTCAAATAATGACTTAATGGTACACTTTATAGAAATTTTGAGGCATGGAACTTAAGTGGCATCAAGGGGCACATCTTTTAAGGTTCGTGCTTTTTTTGTGGGTGGATGCATTTCAGAGATTTCAAGCTCACTTTGATGGTTTTTAACGGAATGCCCTATTTTTTTGTACCATAGATTGATGGAGTATCAAATTCTGTGTAAAAATATGCCGACCTTCATACGTCCTAAACCTAATAGTTAACGAGATATTTACAAAATAATTTTTATTACGTAGTTACTACATGGAAACTATAGGTGCTCCAACTGGTGCCCCTCAATCTGAATACAGTGATTACGTTTAAATACCTCGTTAACTATTAGGTTTAAGACGTATGAAGATCAATACATTTTTACTCAGAATTTGATACTCTATCGATCTATGGTACAAAAAATAGGTTATTCCGTTTAAAAAAATTAAGGTGATCTTGAAATCTCTGAAATGGCTCCACCCACAAAAGAAGCACGTACCTTAGAAGATGTGCCGCTTGATGTCATTCCATTTTGAAGTTCCACGTCTAAAAATTTTCATAATGTACCGTTAAGTCATTATTCAAGGTGATCAAGTTAGCTTACACACTCTACATATATATTCACAGAATTTTACTAGACACCCGAGAAATGAGTTAATTACCTTGTGAATAATTTGTGCACATAAACATGTGCTTTAATAATTATGAATATGACTTAAGTAAGAAATCTGAAAAAATTGATTTGATCAGTTACATTATATTACACCATTCTCTATTATGATAATTTGGGACGATTGTTTAAAAATAGTTGCAAATTATATCACTTAACAGTGTTGATATTTATGTTGCAACCCAAAAGTTAGTTCATGTTCAAAATGCAAAAGTCGAAATACTTTAAAATGAAAAATATTCGACGTGGGCAACTTTCATAATGACCAGCAATATATGTGTATTATATAATTCGACCTACTTGATATATTATTAGTAATCCTACTATAATTATTCATACAATGAATAATAGGTACCTGTAATTTGAAATTGCAATTTATATAGGATTGAAACTCACATTCCATAAAGCAATTAGAAAATATTTCTTCACAGTTATGTATTTAGTGTGTTCCTATACGTGAATGCTTTATTGCTGCTTATTTCAAAATGCAGTCATGATTACTGCTTGCTGCATGTTATGCAATGAGCCAAATAGTAATTTCATCACCAGAGAAATAAATTATACTTCTATGTTTTTCAAAAGTTTAAGAGATTTTTCAAAATTTAAATTTTTATATTAAAATGTATATAAAATTGTACAATCTTTGGTGATGGATATAAAAAATAACTGTCTAATAAGTGTTCACATAATAAATAGCTATGCTTTATTAGTTACTGTATTTGGTCAAGCATAAGTACTAATTAATCGTTTGTTTCTATTAGCTTGCATATTGGGAAAGGTATAGTAATTGCTTTCATCTAATTTAGTGATGACAAGAAGAAGCAGTGAACTTCTTCAGTCTTTATTAAGCCCTTTTATTGCATTGTTTTTTTAAATCATTAAGTACACTACTTGTGCTTTAGAATGTTATACATTGTACAAAGGATCATTTTACTTGCTAATATAGAATTTTCTCTATTTTATTATTATTAGTGATATTATCAAAGTCTAGTTATTCATATTCCAATACTAAATTTTTTCCTACTATTTTCTTTATTAGTAAAAATTACTAACATATAGAAATATCACTGTTTAAAGCAAAAATGTAATATATTTTGTATTAAGAAGTACCAACAGTGATTTCTTTATACAAATAGGTTTTTTTATTACAGAGTACTTACTCCTTCCTTATACGAGTACTGACTTTTTCTGTGTAGTAATTATTGTCTCAGTAATAATTTCTCCATATTAAAACGCTTGTCATGCAAATAATAAATTAAACCAAATTTCTTCAATTACAAGTTTAAAATAATTGTAATACTCGATACATGTATAACATTCACTTACTCTTATAATATTATTAAATATATACTTCTATGTATCAGTTTATGTTGTGGTAGCAATTCTTTAATTTTTTAATTGCATTATATAAATATTTACATTGTTTGTAGTAACAGTGTTTTTCATAAACAAACTATAACGATTCCATTTAGACCAATCTTTTCTTAAAACATACCTGTGCTGTATTTAAAAACTGATGAATAGTGTTCCAAAGCATGAAAGACACTGTAAGCAATATCTTATGCATGATGAATTATTATATCAAAGCTGTTTGTGACTACATTTATACAGACAACATGAATTCTATTTAATTAATTTATACACGAAACGTATTTTTATAGTGTCATTTGTAACATACTATTAAAATATTTTCATTTTTTCTTTTAATAACTCAGCATAAAAAGACGCAGCAAAGCAAACACTTCATGTACTAAAGTAGTATTTTCAAAAATGTATTTTACAGGTATATTGCGGTACAAAGTGGACTTTCAGAGTATGCAGTTGGAGGACGTTGAAATTGATAGTTTCGACCTGGATGACTATTAAATCCGTGACACAACAGACAGTTCTTTTAGCTTCAGAGGAAAACATAAGTATATGTTTCTCCCTTGCATCATATTCAAGAGAGGCACATAGAAAGACATGTTTATAAAATTATAATATGATGCAACACAATACACACACAAACACACACACACACAGAGAAAGAGAGAGAGAGATATGTACACACATACACATCATGAAATTATTCATTAGAGTTCATGCAAGCAATCAATACACAAAAAGTGAGAAGCACAAGATGTGGCGCGCCGATAATCCATGTCTATGAAGAAGAAAGGCAACTCGAAGACTGTGACACTTAATTAAGCCAGCTTGATACCTGCCTATTCTCACACAACATTACCTTATATTACAATTATATTCTTTAATTATTCACATGGATTTATTTAAATAATTACATACGCTATAGTGCTGAATACGTTTGTACAGTACATAATTTGAGACATCACAATTTTATATAAAATTGATGTTTGTCATCTTATTGTGGATTTTATGATAACAGAAAAGAAAAAGTACTCTAAGGACATATGGATGTAGCGTTATTTTTGTTCAGACACAATCATGAATAAGTTGTAATAAACTGATTATCATAAACTTGAAGTTGCGTATCATGCATTCTATACCGATTACTAAATTCATATGAATAATGAAGAGTTCTGTACATAGCCTTAAATTTTTAATGGCACTGTTGCCTTAGACATAAGTTAAGATCGCGTAATGTCCCGGGAAAATAAAACCTTTCCGTCTCATCGAGTGATACACACATATATAAGCATAAGAGATAATTTTCGTAATCTATATTAACTTCGCTGGCTCTCGACTCTTATATTTTGTACACTCACAATTGTATATAACAAATGCTTCGCATGTGTATCAAGATATATCTTGATTGTTACAAACGGTGCACTCCATTAGTAAAAAGAATATCTTCCGCAATATTTAAATGGCAGTTATTAAAAAAGAAGGGAAAGAACAGAAAATGTTATAAAATTATTTTAACATTGTTAATTTAACTTGCTTATTCATATGATGCCTTTGTAATAAACAATAATATGTATGTATAAATGTGAGAAGAATGAAACGTGCAATTTTGGTGAAGTATCTTTTATGAAATATCGCTGTATAGTATAAAGGAAGGTTCCCATGAATGTTGTGAAGTCCTTTGGTGAAAATAACGTATTGTTAATTGATAGTATAATTAGAGTATTTATACTATTTCACCACATGTGATGCAGGGACAATGCTTTATAAAAACTTCATCAAAATGGAACGTTCAGCAAAAGACTATCTGGCTTATGGTATGTGCACAACGAATTCCGAAACATGGTTTAAAAGTATTGTATCTGTGTATTGTCTTCATGAAACTGATGTGTTAAATGTCGGCTTAATGTTTCTTTCAATTTTTATATGTAAACATTCTTTCAATAGGTATCTAGGTAATTATTTATTACTATGTCGGTGCGATTATTTCTTCTGCCTAGCAGAAGCTTGTTTTAAGTATGCAAGTCCTAGTTCTGTAAGAACACGATAAACACTTGAGAGAGACTAGGAAAAGCCGTGTAATCTTTGTAATCATCTTTTGCTCTTGTTTTAAAATAAGAGTAAAAGAAAACAGAGAATGTGAGCGTACAAGAGAGCGCATGAAAGAAAGAGAAACGTCGTCCGTACATCTTATTTAAACGTATCAATGACGTACTTAGATTATGGCTTACCTATGATCTCTTCCACAAGCATAGTTGTATAATATGCTAACAAATTTATAAGTTTTTTGGCAGTCTATATTCTCATGTATTACACTACTAAAATATTTTGTTCCTTCAAAAGCTACTTTATATCTGACAAGGCAATACAAAGATGTAATCGTTATAAGATATTGCTTAATCAAACTTTTCAAAGTACGGATTTAATACCTCATATTTTATATGTATTATACACGTAAAGAACACGTGAGATATGTCCCAACGTTTTAATTTGTTTCCACAAAAATTAATACAAAAGGGGATACTGTAGAGTTATGTATTTCAAACTTAACAATTTGGTGTTGGCCGTACCTTGAGATGCACGTTCTGTTGAAAACGGTGTTCTGTGAAGTGATAAAAAGGGATATGGAAATAATGATTTGTATGATTATGAAACACTTTACGAAGTGCGAAAAGTTCAGATACAGTACGTTCATGTTATACAGATAAAAGTTATTACATTGAAAGAATATATATTATTAATCAATCTATATAATTGTTTTTACTATAAAATCGTTTATTCAGAATATACGAAAAAATTTTGTTATCTTTATTTTGTAATTATCTGAATATAAACGGACGGTAGAGGAAAAATGGACGTAGAGTAATCCTGAACATAGTGAGATTCACGCACCCCCCTTTCTACGTACCATGTTTTCCCGATTGTTTTTACCATATTTAGTGTCGAGAAAACAGTCACGACGGATAATCACGCATAGATAATGTGTGGAACAAGTGTGTCACTCTGTCCGGATTAACCCCCCCCCCCCCATTGCCGTATACGTCCCCTCCATAGTTATTTATATATTTCTAATTTTTCTTTTTAGTAACGAATGATTGAAAAATTACAATTTTAAATTACCTAAAATTACAAACAATACTAGGAAGTTACCTAATAATTAAGCATTATTTCTAATCCCTCTTTCTTCACATGCGCATTACTCAAAATTTATATACAAGGAAAATGAACATGTCGTTAATATCAAAGTTTAATGAGAATTTGATTAGAATTAAATATGAAGAATAATGAATAAGTGAAAAATACAATCTATGTTTCTCATGCAAACAAGTTGCTTTTAGAGCCCGGGAATATATGATAACGTATGCTTCCACGGAGCATTTTCAAAACAAATACATAATTATAAATGTTTAATATAAATATATATGTATATATATACATATACATATATGCAGTTCGAATGAATAATAATGGTGATATAAATTGATATAATAGATGATAACAGTATTCAGTGTAATTACTCCGTGATGGATTTGTGATGAACGATATTTCCAGGCTCCAATTATAACAACTCTCTTCACATTTACAATTTTACTAATGTTTTCCCTTTTTTATACATATACGCAGATTTTGGTTATATAAAACAATAGAAAGGAATATGTCATTAATCACCAATAAGACATATTCGTCTACGAGTCTACGTAACAAGGTGCTGTTGAATAGAAAAACTATCCTTCTCAGTCTATTATTAAACTGGATCCGCATCAGTAAAAAAAGATATTGGCATAATATAATAAAAAAAAGTTACACACTGGGACACATTTTATATCATTTTTACACCTGACTATACCTAAATATTTTTGCTCAGTGTGAATAAAGTTAAATATATTTATCGTTAATTGCTTTAAAAATAATATTAACCCTGTAAAAATATCAAATAACACACAGAAGAAAATAATAATTACACCATTAGATTTCTTAATATTTGTATATTACATAAATTGAAAAAATACTGATATTTGCGATAATACAAAAAAAAAAAGTTATTTGTACTCATAAGATACAGTATAACAGTTTAGTAGACTTAATCATTTAGAAAAATTTTGTCACGCAATAATTTATAACAGTCTGTAAATTTTAATTGGTTGTGTGTAACATGATATTATTTGTCATCTTTCTCTGGTACCAAGAGATTAAGACTGGCATCTGTAATTACTGATCCTAAATGTGTTTCTTCGTCACCACGTATAGATAATGGGATGACGTGAACATTTGTTTTCCTTTCATCCATCATTGCAGCTTTTATCCAATTTGAACTGCTACATTTTATACAACTATGTGAAGGTATTCTATCTAAACTTACAGTTCTATTTCCACAATCTCCACATTTAAAGAATCTCTTCATTGCATCAGTAACACGCAATGGATGCTTTTGCTCTTTACACATTTCAGAAGCAGAAAATGATGAGTACTTGCAAACTAAACATTTAACAGCTTTACAAGAGACTTTATAAGTAGTCGACATTTTCTCCTCCATTCTTTCTTTCATTTCTAACTTATTGAAATATTTCTCCTTCTCTTGTTCGTAAGATTTTTCAATGAGATCAGTATGATTTGATTTAGCATGCAGCATTTCTTTAAATTTATCTGATAGTACATTTTGTTTTTTCGTTATCTGTTCAGAATTTTCTGATTCTCTGGGTCGCTTCTTCCCCTTTTCTATTTTTTCCTCTTTATTTAATCGTGTTTTATTAGGATCCGTAGGTTTAATTTTTCCGTTTTCTTGTATCCATTTAATTGCATTACTCTTAGCTACGTTAATTTGTTTTTTAGTTATAGGTTGTGACAAATCTATTGTTCCTCCTAGGCAACTAATACCTAAACGTGGACTTGATGGAGAAGAAGAAGGTATGCTCAAATCTTTTTTTCTTACATCATTCAGTTTACCAGTATTTGACTTCAATAATGCAGATGATAAATGTACAGGTTGTTCATTTGACGATTGAGATAGTACAGCCGCTTTCCAACCTCTCGATTTGTGTATTTCTTCAAACTTTCTTTTTATTTGTTCTGATGACTCTACTGTTTTGCAAGTTTCATGGTTCATTAGTTTTGTACTAAAGTTTTCAGTCTTCTGACTACCTGAAAGTAGTGCTAAACGTTTGGCATCTCTATCTTCTAGTTTTTTACTTTTTACTGCAACAACAGCTTGAAATTCTGGCATACAATTATTACCATTAAGTGGTTTTTTTTGTGAATTTTTACCTTTTAACATGTCTACTGAAAATTTCTGTGTATTACTATATGCTTGAAGTTCTGCTCTACGAGAGCACTTTTTATATTCTTGCTGAACATGATATACACAAAATTCACAGCAATTAGTATTCACAATGGAATTACATGGATCTCCATTTTTTTTCACTGCTCTACATTTTCCTAAATCCTTGGACTTACCAAGAATCATGATCTTCTGAGAATTATCAGTAGACAGTGTGGCTAAATCAGTACTGTCTCTTGATTCTAAGATATTAGGATTAAGAATACTTATCACAGTCCCAACAGTAGTTTTCCAAAATGTTTTATATGCACTATTGAACATAAAAACACATACTGTATTTATGTTCTCAGATAAATCACTTAGTTTCCATATTACATATGAACTTCCTTTTTGAGAAGTTTTTGTTGGAGATTTACTTACTAGTACCCCTGCAATTACCCAATCGCTGTCTAAGTTCCCTGAATTAATGTGAAATTTAATTTTTGACACTGTTACTGGCATTTTACCATTCATGCGTGTCTTTAATTCTGAGGAAGACACAGTCGGAGTAACAATTCTCAATCCAAAGAATGGATCACTGTAAACATCTTTTGATATAGTATTGTTATTATTACTAGTTGTATTTACATTTGTACTTTGTTTTTTAACACTAAAGTCATAGGTTTTTGAACTGGTTTCATGAGGCAGTGGTGTACTCTTACTTTTCTTAGCAGTTTCTTTCTTTAACAAAGATTTTATATCACGACCATAGTTAGAGTATTTTTGTTCCTCAAAGTAGCGCCTATCCTCATCATCAGAAGAATCAATATTATCATCATGAACTTCACTCTTATTTTTCTGATTTACTGACTTGTTTTCATTGCTTATTTCAGGTATATTATCTAAGAAATTAAAATCCAATTCTTTCAGTGTTGCAACTTTTGATGGTGGTTCCTGATTTTCTTCTGTGTCGCCATTAGCTAATAAATCATTTAAAAGATCACCTACATCGGAATCGCTGTCATTATCCATTTTAAATTCCTGAAAGTAAATTATACATTGTAGAACATTTAAAAGTAAAATTACTGTACGTTCAATTTTTTAAATGAATCTAATTAAATAATCATCTATTAACCCTTGAAAATTATACTTACAAATTTTTTTATACTACTCACGTAACAAAGATATAATGTTAATTGCTAAAGAAAATTTTAATTTCAAAGATTCTATCTATTAACACTCAATATCTCGCCTGTATTATCAATAGTAAACATCAGGCCATTCATCCACGGCGATACGCATGCGGTTTACTTTTAGCCATTTTCCCGCCGTTTCTTACCATTGAGAACTATTTGGCTTTATTAACGAACTCAAGGAGCTGACCTGCCCTCTAGTGGAAAGACATAGAACTCGTTCTGAGGGTATAAGCAAGATTCAAACACTGTGGTGACAATGGAGTTTATATTGAAGTATATTACAAATCAAATCAGAAAAAGCAGTCTAGAAGAAGGGCCTTCTATCACATGGTCTCGGGAATTATTAAAATTTATGTCAAATTAACATTCAATTTAACATTTATTTCTGTACATGAAATAAATTTACCAAGTGGTAGGAGGCCTTTCTTTTACACCACGTTTTCCCCTAATGGAAGCCGAGTTAACTCGTGGGTGTACCCTCACAAGCAAACTCGGCTACCACTAGGGGAAAAAGTGATATAAGGGAAAGACCTCTTACCATTTGGTCCTGGAGTTACTGAAATTTATGCCAAATTAATATTCAGTTTAACATTTATTTCAGTATTTGAAATAAATTTATCAAGCGATAGGAGACATTTACTCCTACGTTACTTTTCCCCTAGTGGAAGTGAGTTTGCTCGCAGGTGTACCCTCGCGAGCAAACTTGGTTTATGCTAGGGGAAAATGTGAGGTAGACGAAGGGCCTCCCAGAGCCTGCTACGATTTAGTTTTGAGAGTTACTGAAATTCATGGAAAATTAACATTCGGTTTAACATTTATTTCAGTGCTTGAAATAAATTTACTAAGTGGTAGGAGACTTTTATTCTACGTCATTTTTACCCCTAGCGGAAGCCGAGTTTGTTCGCGAGGGTATATGGCTGCAGTTTGCATTTTCTCAGGTATGATTTAATTTTACCAAGTATGTTTACTATATTGTAAGTTTTATTATTAACATACAATATTATTCGAGTCATATTTATTTAAATGTAAAACTGTTTTGCTTTATATATTTATATTTCATCACCTATTTAAGTTTGTACATGTTATATATATATAAATCCTCAAGACTTGAGACCCCTTCCCTGTTAAATAACAAAGATTATTTTATTAATTGATTATAAAAGATTAAGACAAAATCAACAGTCCGCCCAGTTTTTGTTTGTCTTTTACCTCTTGATGTACAACAGTGCAGTATAATGATGTGTTTGTACTTTTGACCAGCATCAGCTTCACATATGAAAATAAACAATGCTTTGTTATATTCGTATTATTTTCACTGCGCAAATTAATGTTTATTTCGTGTGGTGGATCGTGTAACTTACTTGTCTTTAAATAAAGTGCAAACACATCCACCGAATTTTGTATTTTGTATTTAAGGCCATACAAGAATAAATGATTTAACATCATAATATTTTCTTCTCCTATCAAAGGTCTTTTTGATTGGCTACAATAATCAATTATGCTACAAATACTTAATTCCATTCTTAATTGCACTATAAAATCTACAATAAAATCTATTTTCTTATAATATAACATATGACAGGTACAATGTTTATTTGTTCATACCCTCCACAGTCGCCATTCACCATATGACAGTGCGATCGCGCTGCCGCCTATAGTCGCTTGAGTTCGCGAATCCTAATTTGAGTGGAAACGGGGGGATGAAAGACTGTCCGAGAAAAAGGGAAGATATACGGTGACTCGATCTTTTTTACAGTAATAAGTTATGGCTACAAGTTTTATGTAAGATTTGCTATAAACAACTTGCGTGTACATTGGCAGCAACATAGGCAGCAAATTGATAGCAACATACGCAGCAAATTGGTTTGCGCAAACCTTGTTCCGGTTTTCCCCTCAATTTGACATAGGTTATGTTGCAAGACTTTCTGCCAATTTGCTTTACCATTTTGATAGCTGGCGTTGCTTGCAAAATCCAAGTCAAATGCAGAAACAGATGGCTATGGCTTTTTAGACAACTTTTATCATTTATTGCTGGCAATTTGCTTGAAACTTGTACACAACTGATTATCAGGGAATATACCGCGTCAGTGATTTGGATGTGCAGTCGGGTTAACGGAGAAGTGGGAATGATTTTCGCAGAGACGAACGCAGTCCCAAAAGTTTCGTGTAGATGGATTCACGACGCATTTCTTATTCTTTCGTTGATTTATGAATTGGAGTAAATGGATCTAATAAAAGAAAATGCTCATCACCCACCATGGACACACCTGCACCTTCGAAAAAGATCATCTACCTATTGAACTAATCCATCAATAAAGTACATACCTCGTTTGTATCCGGACACCCACTTTGGGCCAGGTTTAATTGAAATCCACCTTAAAAATAATAACCCAAAATTTTCAACTTCTCATAACATGTTTTTTGCCAAGTCAATTCACTCTCTTGGTTTGGGTGCCCACAGTCTTAAACCAAGTCAAACGATTTTAATTACTTTTGAGGGCTCAACTCTTCTCGAGAAAGTATAGCTGTACGGTCTGCTACAGAAGGATCCCCCTTATCTGGAACCTGTACGGACCTGTAGGAACTGTTTACAGTATGACCAATCCCAAAAATTCTGCAGAAATCCTACAGTATGTGGCAAGTGCGGAATTACATTAACTGATGAATCCCATTCCTGTTCTGATTTGGATGTTTCCTGCTTTCACTGCAAGGAACAGCAACCAACCTTCCACTCTAGTTGTATCAAGATGAAACTAAACAAAGAAATTAATACCATATTTACTGAACAAGATACGACTGTTTATGAAGCCCATTCACTTACCAACACTAAACTAGGCCTGGAATACAACACAAACCAAAACCCTCCTTAAAAGGAAGCTATGAATTCCGTCGTATTGGAGGCACTGCCTCCACTTCCTCTGAATCTCAGAGTCAGTGGAAGGATAACGTCCTGAAAACGTACCCCAAGAACAATATCAGTAGGAGAGAACCAACGTTCTCTACCTCCAATGCAGAAACTCAACAGGTCATTGATAAAATCGCTGTCACCATCTTTAAACAATGCTCATCCAGTTCACCAGTTATGTCTGACGACTCTACCACTATCAGTAAGAAGAAACCCACTAACACTAAACCCATTCCATCCATCCTACAAGCTAAACCTTCAATTAGCTCATCCATCAAGCACAAACAAGAACTTTTAAAACGTGCTGCCCAATACGACATTGTGTGGAAACTTGGCTACACTCTTATCACAATTTCGATCTCACAGGTTTTCCTGCCTTTAGGAAGGACAAACTCAATTGCCGAAGCGGAGGCATCATCTTCCCGATTACATGCGCATTACAATGGAGAAAGCTTTTTAATTGCACTGTCGTAGATTACACTACGGAAACTTTTACTATTCAAATTATCAATCCCAATAACAAACTGACAGTCTGCGCATGTTACAGACCTCCTGACTCAGATTTCAAACAAGTTGCTTGGAATAACCTGCTCCGCTCGCCCCAACTGATTGGAACCTTCCTGCTGGTTGGAGAATTTAACGCTCACCATGAATTCTGGAATTGTAATTATACTGATAAATTTGGCACTCTATTTCTCCAAACTGTAGAAGATCATGATTGTTCTCTTTTAAATCCATTTTAAATATTCACTCACATTTGAGACCTATTGAACATCAATTCAGTATTTTAGACCTGGTGATTACTCCTTGCAATTTCTTACATTACTTTCTGGTTTCCCATCTGGATGATACTTGGGGATCCGATCATTTCCCCCTGGAGATATCAACCAAAATTCATAAATTTCGCTACATGAGGCATACCAATACAATAACATCAAAACGTACCGACTGGCACCAATATTCCGATTTACTTGAGGAAATCTCGAGAACGTTCATAACCGCTAATCCTAACAACCAAGACGTTATGTCACAATATTACTTACTTATTGAGATGATGAAAGAAGCAGCCCGGAAGGTCATCCCTACAAAGAAGTTGGTAAGAAAGGATCTTCATCATAACCCAGTTCCTTGGTGGGACAGAGAATGTTCCAGAGCAGTTTGTTGCAGAAAAGCGCTACTCCTTAAATGGCGTCATACAGGCTCCTCCTCGTATTGGCTGGCCTATAAAAAGCACGCAGCTCTCACGAAAAACCTAATTCGGAAAAAAAAGAAAGATAACTTTTGCCAGATGGCCGAACAGCTCAACAGAAACACAAATGTCAAACTTTTCTGGAAGAGAATCCGCTTTTTCAAAAACAAATGGACTTCACCTTCCCCGTCTGCTCAACATCAACCCCAATACACGGACTATATCACAGCCATCGACAAATTTTACCCTGCCTGGGTGTCCACAAACTGGACATGCTATGCTAGATCTTCACCCTTTCCATCTGTCGACAATAGATTCAACTTGCAAGAGCTTAACATTGCCATGAAAAGGGTCAACACCAAGTCTGTACCCGGACTGGATGGAATAGAGAATAACATGATTCTACACAAGCCCGTCATATGGAAATTAGTCCTTCTAGAAATCATTAATGATCTGCTGGTATTAAACCTCTTTCCGGAAGAATGAAGAGAAAACAACATTTTCTTCATTCCTAAATCCAACAAAACTGGCTTACGTCAGTTGAAAGTCTGATTAATCGCAGATTTTTGTGGTGGTTAAACCATGAAAATCTCCTTCCACCCAGACAAACAGGCTTCGGTAAACACCACTCTACCTCTGACACTTCCAGTTTAGTCATGCTTACAGATATAGCCTCTTTGCATAAACAAACCACAGCAACAGCCTTTCTAGACGTCAATGCAGTTTTCGATAATGTTTTACCAAACATCCTAATCAATAAGCTTGCAGCTTTAGAAGTTCCTAAAAACTCCTTTACCTTCATCTACAACCTCACAGACTTCAGGAAAGCATGTTCCTTTATTTCAGATGATTCATTACACCTTACACATAACATCCATAAAGGTGTACCTCAAGGTGGTGCTTTCAGTCTTCTCCTCTACACTATCTATACATCTGACATAGGCAAGGATATTTCGTCCCATACCACAATATTACAATACGCCAATGATATTGCTGTGCTCTGCTCTTTGGGCCCCTGTCAAGAAGTCAT